CAGTACTGAGTACATATTTGCCAACGGATAGTGGCAATTTTGTCGGTGCTCCAATATTTTGTTCAGCATAACAATGTGTCGAGGTGTATGCATCCAATGCACTGCAGGCGCTTAAATACAATTTACCAGTGGTCTACTTAAATGGTCCCTCACGCAACTAGAAGCACAGTGGCGATGCAGTGTTGTCGAACAACTCGGTTCAATGACTGACACCCGTCTTACACTCTAAACAGTACTGCTGTATAGTAAATCAACATCCGGTATCAGAACTATAAAGAAAATATTTGCCGGCAGCGGAATCGTAATATTCGTTATGTATATATAACTGCAGACGTTTCAGACTATGTTCGTAGATTCAGACGTCAGTTGCATTAATAAAAGTTTTGTAAGTAAAACATATATGCGTAGTTTACCCGTTATGAACATACCAAACGAATCATTTTTTCAGACATAAAGAAATTGTGTATCGTAAACGATAAAAAAAAACATTCAAAGGTTAGAAAATATCAGTGTAAAGTTCAGCTTTCGGAACGTGAAACGGTGCCTATTTTACAGGGTACAACAGAGAGACAGCAGCATAATTTTAAAACACTTTCCCACGGTTTAAAACATCTGTCACAAATTAATATCCTTATCAGTCAGCCTGTTAACGTCGCTTCGTTCTCAACATATAAAATAGATGTTAATTTTTCTGAAAAACCACCATGATTTGAGTGTCTAATCTAGATGTAATACGTTTCCCATAAAGAAAGAATGATCAAAATTAGGCTTTTGTCCCCCAGCTTCCGCGGGGTAACCCTGCAATGGTTAGACCAGTTATTCCGTCACCAGTCTGAAACAAATAACTATGGAGCAGCATGCAGAGCGATCAACGACTGAATTAAAAATGTGGTACCTCTTTCGTTCAGACCTGGATGCAGGAACTTGCAATAGTTGCCCCACGTGCACTGACCGCGGATGAAAAATTTACAAATACCCAGGTCTTCCGGGCGAACGTCGGTGCGATCAACGATTTCATCCAAAAAGCGTTCGTTAGGAGATAACGCAGAGGAGGATATGCGTTTGCTGTTTTCTTCCTTATCCACCTCACCTTCTTCCGAATCGTCGATCTCTCCGTCTTCCAACTCTTTGCTTTTACTTACAGTATCAGCGTCACTGCCTCCACCTTTGCCGCCGCCACCGCCGGTTTGAGGATCACCGGCGCTACCGGTCGTTTCTCCGTCATCCTAGGAACATTAGATAAAATGAACTACAGTGCAACGGCTTCAACGTCATACATGGCACGAGGTACTGTCCTTGCTAACGTCCGGCTCCGAGGGTTCGTAGTCCAGTTCCGCCGGGTCACATAACAAGCTGTCGTTAATAGTAAGCGGTTTCGAACAACAGTCCTTATTGACCAAGTCGGCGTTGGACATGGCGACACTTGTCGCATACCTGAAATGCATCGCTTGGTGAAAACCTGAAGTTACAGGTGGGCAGTCGTTTATAAAAACAAACATGGCGACCATCTTTTGTCGAACATGCTGCACATTACACCGCTGAAGATGCGTACTACAAGCCAAAACTGGGAGAGTTTCCCTCATCGGCGTTTTGTACGCACCTCCGCGTAGCAAAAAAACAAGACGCCAATCTAAGATTTAGAACTTAAAACGTTCATACCCGACATCAGCGCAACACTTAACGAATGACACCGATTCATTTTCTACTTCTAGTAATGCTCAGAGGTAAACACTCTTGACGGACAACCCGCCACAAACGAAAGTCACTGAATTAAACAACAAGAAACAAAAAATCTGTAGCGACGAAGAGCACAACACTCGATCTGTATTACAGACACCACAGGCACAAACACCTGAACAGACGAAATTGAAAACTGCGGCTCCTTCATATCGTATTCTACGTGTCTCAACCGATCCGCAGGAGCGGCAGAAATGTGACTAAACAAAATAAAAGGTACGCCGGCATTAACTAACATGGAAAATCTCTTGGCCATTCACGGTTTAGCTGGAGCATTTTCCCAAGAAGTATGCCAAATAACGAAAATTTTATATGCTAGATACATTTTATTACAGTGCTCGCATGAAGTGATCCTGAACAATGAACGTAAAACCTTATTTCGTTAACAAAATCTAATTTTCGGAAATTTTATCGCCAAATCTGACTGTGTATCAATTATAATTATCGCCTTTACTAAAACGCTTAAAATATCACAGCTTAATGTACGATTACTTATTCTTTCTCGAATACAATATTTCTTTATAGATGAAAACGAGAAATTTTAACATCAATTTTAAATCAATTGATGCTAGCTACAGTGTAAAATTAAGAATCTTTACAAATTCCTTTGGATGATGAAATTTTCTCAGTTTACTCGGTTTAAGCACCAAGAAAGGAAGAAAATAACTATTATTTCTAACAATTTTGTCAACTGTGAATCCTCACCTCAACATTTTGCATGCATGAACGGATTTTTGATTTTAGTACTGTATATCAAATTAAACTGTACCTGCTAATCAAATAAAATTACAGAAGGTATGAAATTACTCAATTGTTTCACGGCTAAAAAACACTTTATCAGTCATGTAGTTTGTTGAAGAATCTAGTGACAAGTGTAATAATTACTAGTGTAGAAACACTTTCATGAGCAACATCTTCGGCGCATCATGTCGTTCATACCCTAAAACCTTGCTCAATGAAATGAACTGCATGCCAATCGGTAGTAAACAAAAAGGAAAGAAAATACTCTTTATCACGCAACACACCACGGTAAAAAGCAATTTAATATTTAACTTTAGATATACGAGTTTAAACCTAAGTGCCATACTAAACGTTCCTTTTTCGCATAGCAACTTTTGAGCAAAGAAATTTGCAAATAAACTCAACATATATAAATGTTTATAGTTCATTCACAGCAAGTAAATTGTTTTTGAAACAACGTTTTCAGGGTAGCAAAGTAGTCTGAATTTTATATAAATTGATTTAGGTATGCACCATTGCAACTACTTTTTATGAATCATAATAAATAGTATTTCTTAAGAATTTCGAGACGAACAAGGCGGTGATTTCAGATAAGATTTGATCGTTAATTTATTGCAGTTTTAACAACTTTTTAATTATTGTTTGAATATTTTCGAATGGGTTGGTGAGTATGTGACACCGTTCTATTTCAGAGCAAGTTTCGAAACGATCCTGCATCTCATGATGGCAAATCGTTTGTAAGATAGGTCATACCTGCAGCAGTTACAGTCTGTTCATATCGCAAGTCTGATTGGTAACGACTTCGTGGCTTAGATTAGATGTGAAATCCAAAGAACTGTAATCTGCTACACACCGCTAGATGTTCTTTGTAAAATTGATCAAAAACCATTACACAAAGACAAAAGAACTTTATTTGTGTCGTGTAACAGCGGGTAACAAGCTAAAATGGCTCAACGGGCTTCTTCTGTGGTTTCGCTTTACCATGTCTCGTTGAGCTGAAATGGTTTATGCAGTTTTATTGCTACTTCCATGAGCTGCGTGTCGACTCTTTTCTCAAGGTATTAATGGGCAAAATGGTTCTCATCTGTAACTTCTCACCTGCTACAATTAGACTACCAGCTCGATATTCTGCATTAACTTCTATGAATTTTCTCAATATAGTTGAATTCATATTAGCAATTGATTCTTTTAATTCAAGACTATTTATTACAATGAGTTTGCGAGGATTTTCAAAAATGATAAATAACTTATGCCATTACCCTTATGCATCATTTACGGGTATATACAGATCAGTTTTAATAGCGTATTTGCTCTAGACTTCGTGCTGTGTGGAATTTTGGGTCTAGGTTTAGACTTAATGCAAAAGAGAAATTTTGAATTCAACTATTATGGCAATCCCTCTGTACACAATAAGAATAGAGCACTTGTTAATAAACACTTGCAACTTCAGCCTCTCGTCTACTGCTACAAATGTATGTATCTGCTAAAATACAGATCGTTATTCTAAAGAGTGCGCAAGAATTCAATGCTTCGTCCATCGAATTGGTGGCGTTCGCATTAAAATCGTTGCTGACCTTGCCCCAGATTAATCAGTGCATGCTCACCACATGAATCCGGACCATGCCATTGAAATAATAAAATGAAAATATTTCTTTAAACAAATATTTACAACCTATAATTCGAAACCGGTGCTTAGATGCCCCTGAGACTCCTTCGACGAATGTCTTCTGCTTTAAAGAGGGCATTTAAAAAGCAGTTTTTTTTTAATTTGTATTTGTTATCATATGAACCGTAGCAAAGGCATAATAATTGGGCCCTGCAGACTTCGCATGGAGAAAATGCAACTTCATGAAATATAGTTAAAAAGGCTAAAGCATTCTGCGGCGTGACAGCGTAATATCGCCATACTTTCGATATTATTTTCAGAAAACTTTGCTAGTGCAGTGCTTAAGTTGTCACATTCCATAACACTGCCGTCACACTTATTTATCGAAATTAAGTTTTGAAAGATTGTATTTGGATGGCAAATTCATTTTAGGATTTTATGACCAATGAATCACAGAATAATATTTGATCAACCGCAACGCCGGACCTAAATGAAGCACTGGTTATCTTATACTGCGCATTTAGAGGAGGTTTGTTTAATTTTGCGCTTAGTCGGTATGCATTTCTGAAATTAACAAGTGAGATGTGCATATCCTTTCGTTAACAAAGGCTCGAAATTTACACTATTTACTTTTGCTGGACTGGTGTTTCTGCAGCAACCGTTCCCCAATAAGCAAATGCAAATCACACCGACTGACGAAGATTTATTGGTTGCGACCGTTAATTTCCCATCTAGGCAAACTCTATATTCAGCTGTTAAGGTAAATATACTTAAGAAATGGACAATTACCTAATAAGCAAATACAGACAGTGAGATGTTTTTGCCTACCGTTGCAAATTCTGTTAAAACCTGATGTCTCATTGAGTAAAGGTTGAGTCATTATCGCCAAGCCACTCTGGTTTGTGTATTGAAAGGGTTTGTATCTTATAAGCCTAAATTTTCAATCCAGGAATAATAAGGGAAACAAATGAGTTTTATAAAGTACATGCAATATATTTGAAACAAAATTCATCAGATGAGCAGATATTTAACCGGTTTTAACAGTTAGGTTTTACTCATTGTTTAAATATTAAGTGACCCGCATAAATTTAAATAGCACTGCATCACTTAGCAACGCTAAATATTTGATCTGCAAATTTTGCTTATATTAACGGCTTAGCAATGAAGACATTATTTCCGATCTTCATCGACAAAAATTTTGCAAATTAGCTGCCAACAATTACATGATTAATGAATGCATATAAAGGAAAACAGTGTATAATTGAATAATTTCTGAGAGGAGAAGATTAATGGCATCATTACGTTAAAATATCATGCAATGAACAACAGCTGATGCGGAAAAAAAAATAAAACGAGCACAATCGACTGATCAGAACAGTGCCGCTTGTAGAAACGCGTTGTACATTATTGTTTAGTATAGTTTCAATGACTTTCTTCGAAACTGCCCCGTCCACGGTGCATTGGACAAAGTCAACGATTTTCTAGGACAGTCTCGGCTGCAAGACCTGCGGCTGCATAACGGCAATGCTCAGCCGACCAACATCTGATGGTAGCCGTGCGTCTTCGTATTGAAGATCTGGTAACGCCGAAAGCGAATCATCGAAATCATCAACTCCTTGCGAAGCGCTGGGGGCATACACAAATTGTCGACGCCGTCTGTAGTCAAAAACTCGCGCAGTACCCGGATGCACAAAGTCTTTAGGGAGTAGCCTAGAATCAAAACAGAATTACGACCATCAGCTCTAAACAGGAACAAAATGAAAGAGTCAAAACAAACACCTGGCATGCATATGGTTACGACCACCTTCGATGAAGACTCTTTGGCTTTATCGGGCATCGGCATGTATATCTGTTTGCCAGTATTTAAGCACACCAATGGATCGCCAGTTCGGTGCTCTCTGAAAGTCCACGGATGGTTCACAAATGTGTCGATATCAAACCAGCCACTTGGGTGAATAGTCGCATAACGACTCAAGTTCCCCTAAAAAAGCACGTAACAATAGTGCCAAAAATTGGAGCATAGGCAAAGTGCTTGAAAGATCACCACTAGCGAATAGCCATGATGTTATCTGCTCACTAATTTAGAGATTTCTTCTAGCACTAACCATGGCATTAATATCGAACTAGACAGGGTGATTTTTTCTCATCTACAGAGTGCCCATCGAATTACATGATCATAACTTTTGTACTTGTAAACATGTCTACTGCAGAGCAACTTACTACTACAAATATTCGCAAGCAATCAAATCGATGAATTCTATTCATGTACTAATAAACGTTTATAAAAGAAACGTATGCAGTGCATATCAGTCAACACGGCATCCAGATAAGCGACACAGTCGGGTACAAATAGTACTCAAAAACAGAAAAAATATAAATATATATCTGAAAAAAAGGGACTGCAGATGTAGCAAGTAATGAATGCAATTTGTAGCATCATCGTTTCATAGCCTTTACTAGGCGGCACAGACCTCAGGGTCGATGCCACCGGCGAATAGTGCTTCAGTGAAGGAGATATCGGTAGCCGTAAGTCAAGCATATCCATGGGGTTTTAATGGTTTTGAGTTCGAGCCACAACGGGTTTTCATATGACAACTGTTTACTGCTTATTCTGTATCACGCGTAACTGTACAATTAGACAAGGGCAAAAGAATAATTACGACAATGCTCACTGACAACTCCGCCATGGCCGGTCCCAAGCCCGGATGAGAAAGGAGGAGGGTTGGAGACCGTGGCAAGTC